GGGGCTGATTCCATCCACTCCTGAAGCCCCAGCGACACTGGAACCTGAACCGCTGATGCACACATGCTCTAGGAGCTCAGCACCACCCAAGAGTCTGACCTGTCCAAGAGTGCTCACCCCTTATCAACCTGAAGGGGAAACGAGGATTGTACATTGGCAGAGCTCAGGTCTTTCACTTCTTCATGGGAACAAATAAATGATCAGTTCTCAAAGATGTAGACAAGATAATTTGGCTTGAAAAAATTTCAAGCTGATATTAATCACTGACTACAGCCACAGAAAAATACTGATACCATAGGCCTAGTATGATTGACAGTGCACCTTGGTATCTACCAGGGCAAATAACTTGCAAAATGTACACATATTTACTAAAAAATTGTTGTGTTACAAGACATAGAGTTTTGTTAAGTAATATTAAATGTAAAGAAATTTTCGATTTTAGTACACTAAAGTTTGATTTAAAGTTTTCTGATTTTATCACTTAATTCCTATTAGTGCATAATTAAAGGGAAAATTATGGCCATAATAGAATTCATAATAAAATTTCTAATAAAGCAAGCATACAGGAGTATATTAAAAGCTAGATGTGATAAAGTGTTATGTATTAATATGTGTGGTAAAATAGTGTCAGATATCTATATATTCATTCCATATTCTTAGATTCTCTCAAGAATTTTAGATTTAACTTAGTCTGATTAAACACTGTTAACTTGTTACTCTTAACTCTCATGAAAGAAAAAATACAAATAATCAAAACAATTTTTTAGCTTTAAAATATGGTGGTAGATTGTGGGAAGAAACAGTTTTTCCCTAGTTGTATTTTATTAGAAGTCCTCATTTCCTGCCATACATTACCTAAAAGCAGGAGACAGCCTTGGTAGGTACTAGATGCCAGGGGAGAGCCAGTTTGAGATTAAGGGTTTGCTACTAGGTGATTGGCATGTGGATAATCTAGAGTCAACTAAATTTTATTTATTTTATTGTTTTTTAGATTTTTATTTATTTATTTTTTGAGAGGGAAGGGAAGGGCGGGGGGAGAGAGAGAGAGAGAAAGAGAAACATCAATGTGCAGTTTCTGGGGGCCGTGGCCTGCAACCCAGGCATGTGCCCTGACTGGGAATCAAACCCGTGATGCCTGGTTCGCAGCCTGCACTCAATCCACTGAGCTACGCCAGCCAGGTTGTGAGTCAACTAAATTTTAAAGCTGTACACCTCATTCGGTCAGTACCTCTTTAAACATTCTTTAAAACCAGTGATTTTCAATTGGTAAGCTGCAAGAATGTTTAGAACATGCAATACCTGACAATTTAGTCAGGGGCACTGACCTCTTTTTCCTTAGATTGTCAAATAAGAGAATGACAGCAGCCAACACAACAACAGTTATCTGGTGTGAATGAGTCAAAATTATACCTATTTTTGACAGATCAGCAAAAAATATAACATATTTTTTGATTTGCCACAGAATTTTAGTAATTAGTTTATGTGTGCCATGAGATGAAAAAAATTGAAAATCACTACCATAGATTAAGGATATAAATTCTTCAAAACATTGTTTTGCTATTGTAACATCAGATCACAAGGTTAGGGTTGCCTTTTGTAGATATTATTGTCTTATTCTGAAATTTTAGGAAATATGTTATCACAGTTTAAATTTGTGCTAATGTATGCAAAGGAAGAAACAATTAGGAATTTCTGGATTTAGGGTTATTTTGCCAAAAACAATGTTGTTTTTCAAAATCATTAGCCTTATTTTCATAAATCAGAGTTCTCAAAATCAGTTTCTATGTAAGGTCCCTAAATGGTCAAAAGTGTATGTTGCTAAATTTACAAAAAACTTCATGGATAGACTTTTCAAATATAAGCTTCCTGCCACTCAAAATATTGTTTTAAAGCCCAGTACCTTCTACATTACTTCAGTGTTAAGATTTTGTAGGTACTTGGTAATTATCTGCCATATGCTTGTATTTCAACAAATAGCAAATAATAGAAAAACACAAATTGCAACTCATGCTTAGTTGTATTTTTTGAATGTATGTGCATGTTTATGATTGATTTTCTATCATATACACCTGGTAATAGTTTCTACTGGGTAATGGTTCAAGGTCCTTTGTCCCTTGGATTGAATTTTAAAATCATTGATGAATTAAAAGATTTATTGTATCTTGGTGTCTATGTATGGCCAAGAATTAAGACATTTTCATGTATAGTTTAATTTCCTAAATAAGGCAGAATTGTTTTTGAAACAATAAAATTGAGAGAAGAGAACATAAATTTACAAAGAAATACTTTGTAGATTTGCCAAATGTTCTGTTCTCTAATCTTTGTTAAAGTCTGATGAATTCTACAGCTTTAATACTTACTGTGCAGAGTAGTGGGTTAGAAGTTGGGGCCATCCACATTCCTATTCCAGATGCTCTCTGTGGGACCTGTTGTCTTGTCTGTTGGTGTTACAAATGTACAGAGCTGAACAGTTGTCTATGAATAGTGTTTGCTGGGCCGGTACTAACTTTTTTGACAATGAGAGGTAGATACAGAGTGTCAGGGTGGACCTTTCCCTCTGCACACACACCTGACATTGGTCACCTGGAAGGAGGCGCATGTGTCGTATTATGCCCTGTGCTTAAGAGCTGTGTGACTCCAGGCTGAGTCACGCGGTAACTGCATCCGTTACCTCAGCCTGAAGCACTTTATTATTTCCTTTTCACAGGTTGTGATAGACCTAACGTTGCGGCATCTTTAGAGTCCTTTACAGTGAATTAAACTATACACCAATGGATAGGCATACATTTGGATCACAAGTGGTCTCAATTCCTTAGCGTTTCTTATCCCTTATTTTCTTTAACACTGTCGAAAGCCCACGCTTGACTCCAAATCTGTAAACCTATGTGTAGCAGGCAAGGAGGAGTGATCCCTGAATAATTTTGATTCTCTGGTTTATATTAGTCCCGATTTCATGAAATCATCAGAGTGCTTATTATCTTTAACTGTGCCTAATCTCGCGGAGAACCCTCAGTGACGTGCGCGTGTCACTGCGAGGCCTCTGATGAATGTGAGCAGCGGCCCTGGGCCAGTGGCAGGGGAGGGGTCTAGGTTTGTAAACTGTGACTGAGCGGGCTACACAGTAACGTTGTGTGTATTTACTGCCATGGCCGTTGTACACTAGCGGCGGAGAAACATTCTTAGAAGAACATGGGGCAGAATCTTCTATATTAGGTGCTACTAATGAATCCTATTTTAGTGCTTCTCACAGTGGAGTTTAAACCACAAAAATATATGAAGGGCATTTATTTTTGGCAACTTTCACAAAAATCATGGTGATGGTTGCCTATGAATATTTCCTTATGTGTCAATAGAAAATAGACCCCAGAAACTTCCTGGAAATAATCTATTCCAGGTTTAACTTTCCTTTGATTTAAAACGCAGTTTTGTATAGTTTTAAGATGCAAATGCTAAAATATGGAACATTGGTTAAAACGTCATGCTGAAAGTCTTACCAATGCATATACATATTGATAGCATAAAACTCACTAAATCAATGTGTGTCAAGGCTGACTTACGTTAAGTAGGAGAAATGTGATGCAACTTTAAGATACTACAAAGTGAAAAAACTATACAGAACTGTTTGGCTGCTTGGTACTAATATAGCTAGTTAGAAAATAATGATGTTTGCTATTCTTTATTGAGTTGTTTTATCTTTGTTTAAAGTCATTTAATATATTTTCTTGATAAATTAGATTATTCAAAATTGGCAATTAAAGAGTGTTAAAGAAACGGTATCCTTTTATATTTTTACTTTCTCATATATAACCATTGTTACAAATAGTTTTCTTTAACATATGATCTAGAATCTAATTTTTAGTTTATGTTTTGATTTACTTTCAGCTTTTTGCTTAGATTGTACCTGATATGTTTCATTATTCTCATTTAAGAAATGTATCAACATCAGTGTATGGTGAACTCTTTTGAAGTTAACAACAATAGTACAAAGAAAAACATTAATTTCTTACAACCTAACCAACGTGAAAAAATTCTCACAAGTAAATGTAGTGTGTGCCTTTAAAAATACAGAACAACCATTCTAGATTGATAATTAAATTACTACTTTATTTGAATCAAATTATACTTAGAATTTTTTCTTCTGGTTATTACCTGAAAGAAGGCTCCATCCACCTAATTTTAAATTACATAAATAAATGCAAAAATAAAAAGTTGAAGTGAGTATTTTATGCTTTAAAGACAGAAGATGTCAATCCCAAAGAGAAGTAATAAAGTCATCTTTTCCCTTACCTCTAGGATCTCTAGGCTGTGGTCAAACCCTGACCATTATTATTCGTCTGTCACATTTCTTCCTTTTACTTTCATTAAACTGGGTTGTTTATGTATCTTCAATTGAAGTGGCTGAGCTTTCAGGGTAATTCTTGTTGCTATTGACAACCAAAGCAGCCATGCAAGAAGAAAATGCTGTGGAAGGAAAGGAAAAAAAACCTTATTATTTCTTTCCCCAAAGTTGAAGAGAAAAGGGAACATACAGTATGTAAGAAACAGGTAAGTAAAGATATATCAATTTAAAAGCTATCAGCACTGGTTACTTATTGACCAAAAGTTTTAATTTTTTTCAGATACTTTGTCCAATACCCATTTAAATAAAAGGATACTGTCTCTTGGAACCAAAAATTAATATTCTGAAAATGAAAAATTGGACTAGAAGGTACAGTGTTACAGAAGGTCTGCAATATTTTAACTTAGAATTTGGACTATGAAAGAATAGCACAACTCAATTATTGGTTAATATTTTTGTTACAAAATGTTTTCTAATGACAAAATGGTGACTAAAATATTCTATTTTAAACATGTCCTAGAATTTTTTTTTGTTTCAGAAAAACACTGAAAGTTGAATATGTGTAAGTCTCCGGGAATGTAACAAGTTGATAAATACCCAAGTCCCGCCTCCTTACAGAGAAAAGATCTGGAATTTCTTTTTTTGGACATTTGTTTTGCAGCTTTCTACGTCTTAAGGCAGAGAATAGCCAGGATAAGGTGCCAGCTCAAAGGTTAGATGAATATATTTCTTGAAATAATTTTGGCTAATATGTGCTTGAAAGGCATAACTTCTAAATAATAACTTCACAAAATTAATAAAATTTAACCTTAGTTGTGGTTTTTTGAATTGCTTTTGGGGGTGGGAAATGATTTTCCTCAGAGATTTTTTTTTGTTCATAATTATGCTAAGTTAATTTTATTTCAGTTATTACATTAAACTTTTCCCTTTCAGTTTATAATTCTTTTTCCTCTTTTGTGAATCTAATAAATTGACCTTCATTCTAACCTAAAGGACAGTTTATATGTTTAATACTTAAGGAAGCAAATAAAAAATAAAAATACCAAAGTTCACCAAATGAAATTACTAACACCAGCCTATCATTAACCTGAGGGAATTGTATTCATATTAATTCTTCATGGAAAAATACAGGTAAGAAGTATTTTTATTGTATAAAAGAAATAAGATGTTGTAATAGCACCAACGGTATTCATGCTATTCTTTTGTTACCTAAAGGGTTCCTTATTTAAAGTATTTCTGGAAGTGAATAATGTCACTTGACAAATCACCCTACAGACACTTCAGTGGAAATACTCAAAATTCTGGTGAAATTTGGTGAAATCTGGTGTATTTTGGTGAAATACTCCAAATTCTGTTTAATGAAACTGGGGCCAAGAAGACAACATAGTTTCACCTGATTGAGGAAAGAGAGGATTTTAATAACAACAGTTGGAAATAAAAATTGACAGTGCTAGAAATAAAAGTGAAGGGATTTCTTCAGGGAGACTTAAAAAAAGTGAAACCATGGGTATCTCATAGTAACACAGTTACAGAATTAACTAGCAGAGCTATGGCTGAGTTAGGGAGACAGTGCCGTAGAGTGGAATGTGGGCTTTGTCACCAACAGATCTGGGTACAGGACCTGTTCCTGTCACCAACCATGAGATACTAGATATTTTATTTAACTTTCCTGAGCCACAATTTCCTGTTCTTTAAACCTCCTTTGCAAGATTGTTGCTGCCTCTGCTTACCTCTTGCAGAATAGTTCTTGGTAAATGTTTTCTGTTATTACTGTGTGGTCATTATAGAGAATACAGATAAGCTCTGAACAGTGTTTACTAGGGTCCATCGCAGCATCCATAGTTTTAGCATATTTTTAAATACATTTTGTTTACCCTGCCCATCTTTTGAAAATAATTAAATTGGAAGTAAAAAATTTCTCAAATTGTTCATTTCTACAATGTGAACTTTGGTTGGATAGCTGTCTGTGCTTTCGAACCATTCCTTTTCCACTTCTCTGGTATCCATTTGCAAACCTCAGAGTGGAGTATGGTTTTGGTTACCTAACCAAAGGAAAAGGAACTGAAGGAACTAGGATTGAATTGCCGAATTACCTTTAGAGTTACTGTGATTTATCTGACAAACTTTTGAGAGCTTACTGGAGGCAAGGAGTTAAGGCAGGTGCTGGGAGAGATGCAAAGGTTAGTAAAATGTGGCTTCTTGCTTGCAAGGAGCTGATTTGGTAAGATGGTTGTCTCATTCCTTCCTGTATTCTGAAGTAGGAAAGAGTTAAAGAGTTCAGGTTGTTCAGAGGAAGAATCACTTCCAACTAGAGAGGATCAAGGAAGATTGCATACTCTTAGTGGTGTTCAGTTGATTTATTCATTCAACAGATACATCTTGAGTGCTGTTACCTGCGTGACCCTGGGCCATCCACTACAGACACCACATCAGTAAGATGAAGCTGTGGGCATTCATGTCGCTTATGGTCAGTGTTGAAGGCCCACAGATGATGACAAAGCTGATGAGAGGTGTGTTTCAGTACAGGTGTGTTTTGAGATAGGACACTGCAAGAGCATACCTCAGGGAGGGGGAATGTGTGTGTATGGCCCAGACCAGGAATGAAAGGCTGGTGACCCAGTTAAATCTTGAGGGATAAGTCAAGTGAAGAGCACCCTGACCAGAGAGAAAAATGCATTAAAGCTTCAGGAGACAGAGTGAGGGGCCCATTCCAGGGAATGTAAGACCTCTAATCCAGCATTGCGCATGTGTGTGCAGGGCATCTGATGAGAGCACTGTGGGAGAAGTAGGGATGGGTTGACCTGGAAGGCCTTTGGTGTCATATTGAGTAGCCCAGCCTTTATCTCAGAGCTGTAGAGTAAGCAGGGACATTATAAAATCAGACTTATGTGTCAGAGTTTATAAGCTGGGGCTAATGGGTCAGATCTGGCATATAGGTGGATTTGGTTTTGCTCAGAGTGTTTTAACATTTTTTGAAACAATTGCCAGGGTAGATGTCAGGCTTTATGAAAAATCAGTAGTTCTGCATTACAGCAAGGAGTTGGGCTGGAGTTGCTCAGCAGCTGCCCTATCAAGAAGGGACACATACTTCATTTTATCACGCGGCTCATGTCTTCCAGGCAAATGCCTGGGGCCTGTAGGCCTTTGAGTTCCCAGGGTCCATCTCTGAATGTTTTTTTTAGTGATAATTTAGAGAAGAGCCATTTGAAACTTGGAGCTAGAGATTATTACAGTAAATCTGGTGAAAAATTAGGTTTTATCTTAAGTAGTAATGGTGGGAACAGAGAGAAGGTCACTAAGGAGAAAGGAGAGGGAGGCATGCATCAGCACAGGGATGCCAGTGTGGACTTGGGAGACCAAGAGACCTGGCTGCCACCATGAACTGTGTTTTTGAGAAACGTACATTACCTTTCTGGACAATAACTTTGTTTTTGGTAAGATGTAGATAAGAGGCCTGTCTCATAGGGTCTTTTTTTTTTTTTTAATGAGGATCAAATGAGGGAATACTTACAGAGCATTTAGTTTAGTAACTGGCTCCTCTTAGTTCACACTCACTTGTGAACTAAGCTGTGGTGATGATGGTTGTGTAGCCCTCACTCCACAACTGGTGTGTTGTCCACCTTCCAACTTCGGTGTGCTACTGGGTGAGCTAGAGAACAGAAAAGAACGTGCAGATGCTGACTTCAGGGTTGGATGTGGTACATGGAAGTACTCTGTGACTATGAAGTTGAGAAGCTGATACATGATTGGGTTCAACACCAAAGTGAATAATTGTTAGGAATGAATGACCACTTTTTTTTTGAAGCTTGTATTCTCTCTTAACTGAACATACCAAAAATCAGCCCTGACTCAAGTCCCATCTGAAATTCCACCTTCTCCCCCCTGCCTTCCTTTCGTCAGCAGTAGGAAGTCTTCTCTCCTTTCTCCCCATTTAGTTGGGACACTCACACGGAGCCTATCTCACACTGCTCCACAGCATGCTTATCTGTGGGTCTGTGACATTTGTTCTGCTAGACTGAGAGTTCCATGAACCTGGGGCCGTGTCCTACACATCCTTATATCCAGTGCAATAGCTTCAGCAATGCCTAGTCTGGTTCAGTTCAGTATGCTTTTGAAGGTGGAAAGACCACACACATACTTCTTTATAAAAGGGATAAAAAAGATGAAGATGCAATCTTAATAAGCAGATTGTGCTTTACAGAAAAGATAATTTATTGGGAAAATGAATATGAGTTTTTCTGCCTATCTTATGGCCTTATTACATATCATAGATCTTAATCTTGACTAAAGTTCTACAAAAAATCAATTTACATGCTTGAAACATATGAAATGTAATCTGATTGTGTCATCTATAGCTTACAATCCATTGGCTGTTCGCAGTTACGGTTAGAATCTTGATTCTCAGACTATGAAGCTGTCCAGGCTGACAACTCCCTTATCTTTGAAGGACTATTGTGTGCTATATGGACCCAGTCACAGGGACTGCTGTTGTATTTCTAGATCCTCTGCTGCTTCACCCCCTTCTGCTCATTCTGATGAAAGGCCCTTCACCCATCCAGATGGCAAATTTTCACTCACCCTTTAAGATTCAGCTCATATTTCCATTGGCAAGCCTTTCCTGACATTTTCCCTACTCATTCCTCTCTGCAGAGAAATTCCTTCTTCTATATTCTTTAAATACCTCATACACCTGCCATATCTGTCTTTGTCAAGAGACAGTACGCTATTTCAGAATTTCAGAGCAAGGACTGTGTACTTAGAGAGCTCAAAGTCTAGTGAGGGAACTAGATAAGAAAAATAACTGTGATACAAGGCATGGTGTATGTACATATGAATATAAACATGTATAAATAATTTATGACAGAGGGGTACACAGAGGCTTCTGAAAGCACTGAGGGAGGTTTCCAAACTGAGAATGCAGGGCCAGTGCAGCCCTTGGAGATGGTACTGTTTAAGCCGAATATTGAAGCCTGTCTAGGTGTTAGTTTGGCAGACAAGGGGAAGAATGACATTCCATATAAATGTATGGAGGTATTAGAGAGAGAGTGTTATTTTTGAGAACTTCCATTTGTTGGTGTGTTTGTAGACATGATTGGAGATGAGCCTGGTGGGGAAGGCGGGACTCAGATCATGAAATGCAGTGCTGAATGCCATGCTGAGACATTGGTCTCCTGTGATGAGCTAAGTGAACATGAAGAAGAGTCAGCGAGGGTGAGGAGGAGAATGGCGCGGTAAGATTGTGGTCCAGGCCCTTCAATGGTAGCGTAGGCCTGCTGAGGTCCATAGTGGGAGCAAGAAGGCCACCGTGCTGTCATTTATTTAACTGATCCTGTACTGATGGACATTTAGGTTTTTTCTAGTTTTTTATTTAAGGTTCTTGGTAAGATAAATTTAAAACACTTCATGAATTAATGTTTTCTTTAAAAAACGGTATACCAAACTGACAGTTGCTTCACATCATGTAAGTGTATGCACAGTCATAAAATGATTCTATTTTTCAAATAGTTAATATATGGCTCAATTCACTGTATCAGTGACTCTTTCAAACATAGAGATTTTGGTTACTGAAAGAAGTAATGATGGTCACATTAGAATTTTTCTTGCCTTTTTTGATGATTGCCCAGTAAAGTTGCTCAAAATTGGAGCACCATCTCTTCAGCTAAAACAAATATAATTTTTAACTAAAAGGAATACTTTAATGTGTTTTATTAT